GGGTGATTCTCGTCACCCCCAAACTGAGTATTAATAAGCACGTACTGTAACACTGGGCAGGCGGGCTTACGGGGAACCTTCCACCTGTTTTTCCTGCCTGATAGGTGCGGGAAACTGCTCCTATGGTTGGAGGGGTTCGTATCATTTGATGCACGATCATATTAACAGCTGGGGCATGCAGGCCGGGTACTGCCAGCTGTTTTGATACCCAAGAATCTTTGTTGCAATTGCGTCACGCGTGCAGCTGCTCATTTCGCCATTGCAGCAATGGCCGCCTCTCGCCCTCTCCCGAAAGTATCCATGCCATATTAATTAACATAAGAATCCCGCGTGCATGTTGAAAATATGTTTTTAAAAAAAATTAAAATAGCAACTAGACGGAGTGAGAAAAAGCGAATAATTTTTGCACCAGGCAATGGTAAAACGAGAAATGAAAAGAACGGGAAAACAAGGTTCCTTAACACCCACCTGAACACCAATGTCGCGATTGAGGGGCAGAAGGGGAGACCCCACAAACTCGTGCGGAAGAAAACAGCGTCAATATTTTAATAAGTTTTTCACTTACCCGCGTTGTAGACCCTACGACCTGGAGCGGTGGCGTTGGCGACGCTGGCTCCGTCAGATGACGTGTTAATAAGAGGGGCGAGGGCGAAGTCCTCGCCATTTTATACGCTCGGAACCTGGCGTCGGCAACATGACAACAGGTACTTGCCGACGGCAGCGTGTGGCGAGGGGCCGGAAAGCCATATCGCGACACCTGGACCCCTTACTTTCTTGCCTTTGCCCACTGGAACCGCTCTAAATCAAGAAGTTAATTATGCAAAAATTAAGCTTTAAAAATGTCTAAAATTGTCGATGTCCTGGTTTATTAATAATTGATTGGTGTTTTTCGAAGTGCGACAGCTGCTAAGGTCGCAAGTCCCGTAAGTGTTTGCAATGTCTATAGCAGACGGATGCCGATGATTTTCCCCGCTGGATGGAGAGATCATCTCTCTGAGTCGGGGGACGACGGTTGGGGGACAGAATGGGGGAGGAAAGTTTTAGGTGGAGCGACGTGAAGAGAAAATGGACGAAAGGGGGACGAAGGAACGAGGAAAGGAAAGGGGGACGAGGACGCGGAAAAAGTTCTTGGTTGTATCTTCCGCAACCACGCTAGTGACAAATAATAAACAACAAGGAACCGTTCCTAGCATTAGTTGTCTCAGTAAAAGTATCTGGGTGCAAAACAAGACACTCGGGATCATTTCCCGATATGGATGATGCTTGTAATTGCATGGTATATTAAATTACTTATTAATTATATTATATTAAATGAATTATTAAAATATAATATTAAATTAATTATTAATGATAATATTATATATATTTTCATTATGTTTTATCCTAAATCTCGATTATTTTTAATTTGCTTTCTTTCATAAAAGTAGTGAATTCAACCAAAATGTTGGAAGTAAAGAAGATTTCGATGGTAGACACAGTTTCGAGAGTGTTTTGAGTATGGTTCTTACGACGTCGAAATGGAGGTTCGAACTGTCTGTAACGTGTCGGATATGTTAGAAACTTTTGAGTTATATATAGAAGCGTTATTGTGGTGCTAAGCTAGTGCACATGTCAAGATGAAATTGGTCTATTTCCAAATATATTTAAAAGTTTTTAAATTTTCCATGGTAAGTACCTTCTTCTTCCGAAGTTGAAAACATATTTTTTAAGATTCTAAAATTAATATTTCATAAATATTTTTAAATGGAATAGATAACAATACAAAAATAATTACGGCAAATAACTTTTTTTCTTAAATAAATTTGAATGTTTGAAAATTACTGTTAAACTAAAAAAACTGTTCCTTATACCTTTCGTCAATTTGTCTGCTGATAGCATTAGCGCCTAACCCGTTCTCGCATTTTTTTCAAAAGTAATTCACCTCGATCGGTTTGGTCTCACTCGCGAAGCTACAAATTTAAAATGGATCTTTTAATTGGAATGGGGAATCTTTACATGAAGCCTCTGGAATATTTTTGATAAAAATGTATATTTTTTTAAAATTTTCTCTTAGTTAGAGCAAAGTTCACTTATAAAAAATGTTGCATATCTGGGTTACATCAAAATATTAACTTTTGAATATTGCAAAACCAAACTTTTGGACTCCCCTCAACTTAATTTTTGTACAGAGATTTTTTCTTAACGACTTCAGTTCCTCAAAATTAAGTCATGTAATGTAGATTTTTTTTCAAAACATGAGTCGTTTGTGCGTAATTGTGAGTAATATCGTTTTTCATCTTAAGCTGCATAATCACCGCAACATTAATAATTTATTGCAACAGTTCAAACTCTTAAGAATCTATGGCACGCGAATATGATTATCGTTTTGGAAACCTAGGCACTGGAGTTGAAATACCTGATCGGGCGAATATTTTATTCTTTAAATTTCTTGCACAAAAAGAGAAAAATGCACTCAATTCAATGGCAAATGCGTCATTTTCATTAGAACGTCAAAGACTTTTTTTAATTAAAGATTTTTGTTCTCGTAAGTATCTCTCGCACAATGCTTACTAACAAATTTTTCAAGTGACGCCTGAAGTATTTGTAGAAAAAAACTAATAACACATTACGTTACGGTTTTCAATTCTTCAACTGGGAATCTCAGTATTAACGTCATTTTATTAGAAGATATCATGATTTCTTCCGGAAGACAGTATTCATTTCTGTTAATAGTAGTAAGAAGCAACTGAATATAAATAAGTGCATTCAGTATAGTTGATATGATCATATTTACCATGTTCTCGAAGATACTAATTACATATCTCGCAATTTGTACGATTAAATGATTACGGGGAAAACTCTAGAAAATGCCAGTCTCAGAAAACGCTAGAAGAGTAATTAAGAAACAAAATTGAAATGGGAAACACTCTCAAATATGTATTTAATGATGGGTGCATAATTTGCATTATATTAACAACCAAAAACATATTTTAAATGGTAACTACTGAGGGAACAATCATTATTTCAACAGGCAGTAGAAAGGTCGTTAAAACTCAGAAAAACTATACACAAATTCAGATGAACGCTTTTTTCACCTAAAATTTTATTTAATACACTGATAGTTATGGTTTAGCTTTGCTATTATTCCAATGCAACTTATGAATCATATCACTAAAATATCATGATGATTCTGGAATAAAGTAATATATCAATAATCTCATCAAGATGGAACTCCATAAAAGACGTAATTCTATAAAACTTTTTTGAAAATGCTTTTGAAGAGGAAACTTTGTCGAAGGTTTCTATAAAAATTATTACGAATATGTAAATACAGTTCATTCTAAATCAACTAGAATCTGAAATTAGAAGACAAAACGTAAATGACTAGCTGATCAGGAATTGAAATGGAAATTTTTAACAAGCTTTTTCTGATTTCCCAAGTGAAAATACCGTTAATGCAACTAGAATCGAATTGGACAGAAATAAATATTGATGTCCCTATTGCATTCATGAATGGGCTCTCAAGTCGTACACAAAGGTATTACATAACGATGTAACTTCTGTTTGGAGATTACAAACTCGTTTACGTGCTCTAACATTAAGAGAAAATAGATTTCACAATTCATAACTGTGAATTTCTTATTTGAAGCTATTCTTATTTGAAATTTCTCACTCATTTTTGAAGCCATATTTTCAAAGGTACCACATGATTTGTGATTTGCTTAAAAAAAATAAGAAAACTATAAATTTAAATTTAAATGTACAAGTTTAACATTAAGGTTTAATTATTGAATGATTTTTTATTAGAAATGATAATTACTCAAAAGATCTATAAGATCATATGTACTTACTCTAACATGCCAGTGACGAAAGAAAACTTAAATGACTTGTTGTCGCGGAGAGCAATAATATTTATCCCCAGATCGTAGTCAAAGAAAGATGTTACTGCTATTAAATTAGGAAGATCAACCGGAAATTCTGTTTTTCTAGAAGTATCACCGCAGGATAGAAGAAATAATTGATATTC